TAGAGGGTTAATAGACTAGAGACTGTTAGCTTCAGTAGGTTTAACTATCTACAGTGTAAATGTTGGATTTCTTTTTTCTTTAACAGAAATAAAACTCCTTAATTTTTTTCTTTAGTTTTCTGAGACTTGGTTCCAGAAAACTAGTGAAAACAATTTTTGTTGCAATAAAATATAAAAATTGTGCTCTGTTGTGTTATACAATTTTTTGTAGTTTTTTTTTTCCCATGAACTACAGAGCATTTGCTTGTTAAAGGCACTGAAGAACATCCTAACCAAGCATTCCCATGTAATCTAAATGTTTCTGGCCTATGAAAATCATATAGCAATATTTATAGCCTAACATTTAAGAGATAGTTGACATTAATAATATATACATTTTAGGGAAAAGGACTCACTGAGGTGGCGGAGGAGCCCAAAAGGGATTGTGGGAGGACGGCTTCTTCCTTTCCATCTGGCGGCCGCCATCAGGTAAGCTGAGATGGGTGCATACAAGTACACCTCAGCTGGTGGCACTCACTTTTGCATTTGCTTTTCTGTATTTTAATTTACTATTTACCTCCTCTTTTTGTGCTGGACTCCAGACCCTGGGCTCTATCATGCTAAGCATATGCTGCAAAATTGAAACATGAGCTCACCCCATTTTTATTTTTATGTGGTCTGTAACATGAAAACATCAATATTCTTATATGAATGAACTCAAATGAAACCATGCAAATAAATTCAATGTAGAGTGACTACATATTTTCTGCTTTTTATTGAAGAGGCAAGTAGGAGTGAAAAATTTAGTGGCCAAGACTGTAATCCCAGAACTCAGGAAGCTGAGGCAAGAGGATTTCCTAAAATTTGAAGACAGTTGGGCTACAAAGTGAGTTCCAGTCTAGAATGAACCACATAGTGAGACCTTGCTCCAAAAAAACAAAACAAAACAAAAAATTAGTGACCAAGTTTCATCTAAGTATCCCACAAAAAAGCATAAGCAAGGGACTCAACACTCTGCAGACTCTAGACGGTTAATAGACTAGACACTGTTAGCTTCAGTAGGTTTAACTATCTACAGTGTAAATGTTGGATTTTTTTTTCTTTAACAGAAATAAAACTCCTTAATTTTTTTCTTTAGTTTTCTGAGACTTGGTTCCAGAAAACTAGTGAAAACAATTTTTGTTACAATAAAATATAAAAATTGTGCTCTGTTGTGTTATACAATTTTTTGTAGTTTTTTTTCCCATGAACTACAGAGCATTTGCTTGTTAAAGGCACTGAAGAACATCCTAACCAAGCATTCCTGTGTAATCTAAATGTTTCTGGCCTATGAACATCATATAGCAATATTTATAGCCTAACATTTAAGAGATAGTTGACATTAATAATATATACATTTTAATGTCAAACATATAGTATAAAAATTTATAAAATAAGGCATTATTACTTCTAAGAATGTCATGTACATAAGAAAACTCCCCAGTAATTGTAATAGCATTGCAGGTTGAAGTAATCTTATATACAGAAATAAAGTTTCTCTACTATGTTAAGTATACAATTTAATGAAATTTCAGCTATACCAGAAAAAAGTCAGTCCATTGAATATTGATGGAAAGTGTTAATTTGTGGGATTAAAAATATATCCTAACAAAACTCTGAAGGCTCGTGGGCACCACCATCTCTTCACCACATTGCTACCAGTGTTCTACTCCCTCCTCCTGATGCCCATGTGGGAGCCAGGCTGGAGGCTTCTGCTGCTGGGACCTTTGAGGAGATGTTCTCACACTGGGTAGTGGCTACCTGCTTTCTTATTACTCAGGTGTCCCCTATGTGGCTGCTTCTCTTCCCTGGGAAACTTCTGTGTGAAAGGGGACCAAATAGAAGGCCCCGGTCTCAGTCAGAACTCCAGGCAGACTGTGACAATCAGATGGGTGAGTGAAAAAATCTGCTCAAAGAACATAAGTGTTCTCACTCTCCTTTACACTCCTGAGTTGTATGTTACTTTAGGACAGTTTTAAAAATTATTTTTCTCATATAAATTATACATCATTAAGTTATCATGATTGAAAAAAAGACAGCTTTCCTAAGTGTAAAGGTGCCCACTTAATCCCTGCCTAACTCCAGGCAGACTGTGACAATCAGATGGGTGAGTGAAAAAATCTGCTCAAAGAACATAAGTGCTATCAGTCTCCATTACACTCCTGAGTTGTATGTTACTTTAGGACAGTTTTAAAAATTATTTTTCTGGTATAAATTATACATCATTAAGTTATCATGATTGAAAAAAACACAGCTTTCCTAAGTGTAAAGGTGCCCACTCATAATCCCTGCCTAGGAAGGGAGGGGAGGGGAATGGGGGAAAAAAAGAAGAAGCAAGATATATCAGGAACAGGTACAAATTTCCAATGATGAATGTTATCTTAATATGTATCTAAAATGTACCAATAAAATTTTAAAAACCTCTTCTCCGTGTTGAAACATGACTGATTTTTTAAAAAATACATTCTATCATCGCACTTCTCTGCTCCAGACTTGCAAAAGTTTCTCTTTAACTCAGAAGAAAGCCCAGTGGCCTCTGACCACAATTGCTATGGTCCCCGTCCCCACATTCTGAGGCTTCGTCTCCAATATTCCTTCCTCCCCTTACTCTGCTCTAGGCATCCAATAAAATTTTAAAAACCTCTTCTCCGTGTTGAAACATGACTGATTTTTTTAAAAAAATACATTCTATCATCGCACTTCTCTGCTCCAGACTTGCAAAAGTTTCTCTTTAACTCAGAAGAAAGCCCAGTGGCCTCTGACCACAATTGCTATGGTCCCCGTCCCCACATTCTGAGGCTTTGTCTCCAATATTCCTTCCTCCCCTTACTCTGCTCTAGGCACACAGCCAGCCTCTTGCTGATCTGTGAAGGAGCCAAGCCTTTGTCCACTTCCAGCCTGGAGATATTCTTCCAAACAGCAAAGATGCTCAACCCTAGCATGCCAGGCTCAAAGCCTCAGTTCCTTTAGGTCTCTGCTCAACTATCGGAGCTTCCCTGACCCCCTGACTAAAGTCACATCTGCCTCCTCATGCTCTTACTCTGCATCTTCTCCATAGAACTTATCCCTAACATGTTTTACATACAATGTACACACACACACACACACCACACCCATATATATTATATACATGTACATAAATATGCATACTATACATCTATTGCGTGTGAACTTTCACACAAGGATGTTATAGACTATGAAGTCAGGGAGTTTCATTTCTTTTCTGTGAACACTCAATGTTTATGACTGTCTCAAATGAAAATGGTATTCCATTCATAGTGGTGGAATAAAGAACTAAGTTAAAATCCCTTCTGAAAGAATTTGATTTGTTCACATTCCAATAGTTCCTGACATTGCCTTCTTCTCCCTTGCCCTACCCCATCCCTGAGGAAGCAGAGGCAGCCTTGTGTGTTTGGATATCTGAAGAGGTGAGAAAGTGGGCTCTTCCTCTACTCTAGATTTCTCAGCCTGAGAGCACTACCTAGTTGGCAGGAGAATAAAATTTCTGCTGTAAATAAAATTGTGTTTTAATTAAACTGGACTGGACACTTTACTGGGCTAGATTATTCTTTGCATTATAAGCAGGAACTTTTAGAAAATTTGGGAAATGTTAAGAAAAGTAAGGAATATTCCTTCACCTAAAATTGCCTTTGAAGGAAAGGAGAAATATGTGTACAGAGCAGTCACAGAGGGCTTATGAGGAGGAAAAATGAAGTTTCCCCTTCCCTTCCCTCTTCCCCTCCCCATACTCCATATAGAGTTCCGATTATTCCAAGTACGGTTTATCTTTCTATGGTGATCTTTACCACAGTGATTAGTGATCTACTCTGTATGTGTGTGGCTTAGTCTTAGAACACAGAAGTAGCATTTTATAAATCCTTTTTATTCAAAATTTACCATCGTATCTGCCATGTATCTCCCATGTAGCAATAGTTTAGTTTAATAACTTGTCTCCCCATCTTAATTTAAGGTTTCTTTAATACCAAAAGAACCTAGAGTATTAAAAATGATGCTCTGTTTGGTGATGGAGAGGAAAAAGAATGTTCATGTCTTTAAAGAGATACTGCATTCCTAGATTTAGTTTCATTCACCATAAAGAAAATTGAACACCACTGCATTCCACTAGGAAACACCCTACTTCTGAAATATATCACCAGGTTGCTTTTATTTTTCCTTTCTTAGTCAAGTTTTTATTCACCCAATCTGTCTCCCTTGTTGTAGTAGGACACAGTTATGGCTTTCGTGGAATCTGGTGTTTGGAAAAAATGATAAAAAGAATCACTTTCTTTCCATGTTTCTTCTTTTAAAAGATAATTCCTGAATCTTTATTGTTTGAAAAACTACCTCTGTATTCTGTGGCAGATGCAAAAATATGTTAAAAGGAAACACTTTGTAAGACTGTGGAGATGGTCTGTGTGTTTCAGAATAAAACTGCAGCATCACTATGACCCAGAGATGAAAAATTCTAAAACACTCAATTCAGTATGATTGCACGTGTATTTAGCAATTTTCAAGTGGCGTATAAGCAAACAAACTCCAGAGAGGTGGATATCTTCAAACAAACTGCCTAAGCCTTTGTTCAGAGTTTGCTTTTTGATTAGCACAATGGATTAGAAAGGGCATTTACCAGACTTGTGACAGCCTTAACTATTCGCCACCTTGTACCCAATCTCTCTTTCCTTTAAACGGCTCTTTAAGTTCATAATTACAGAAAGAGTAATGTCTTAGTTACTGGAGCACTGCTTTGATTTGAGGCTGGGGGTGGGAAGCTTGAACTGTGAGTGCCAATTTAAAAATCCATTGTTAAGTAAAAATTCCTGGCTTATTTAATCTGCATATTGAAAGCAGCCCAAGTGTGAATCCTAATTGTACAGTTCTGCACGAGACTAACAATGAAGCGAGCACTAGGGACCTAACTGTCGCGAGCAGAGATAGTGCCACTCTCTGGATCCCAAGGAGAGACGACTGCAAGTGGAGTCTCAGTACAAGAGTTTTTATTACTGCTCTCATCGGCCACACATACACACGACCATATTAATGCAAATAATAGGATAAGTAGTAATATATAAGCGTAATGCCAACCCATAATATCTTTGCCACTGCAATCTCAACACACATAGTTCATAATGTCCATACGACCTGAGTCAGAGTTCGTGGTCCGTAGTCCCCGGATCTCTCGTCAGCAGGGTCGGTTCGCGACGTTCAGCGCTCGGTGCTCGGTTTCGGTTTCAGTCTCGGGTCTCGGCACGGACTGGTCTAGTCCATTGTGGAAAACAGTATGTCACTTCTTCAAAAAGCTCACAATAAAACTATCATATGATCCAGCAATTCCACTGTTTCAGTACTGGGTATACTTAAAGGAAATGAAACCAGTATGACAAAGAGGTACCTGTACTATGTTTCTTTTTTTTTTTTTTTTTCAGCTTTAAATGAGTTTATTGGTACTTTTTAGGGATACAGTACAGTTACATTCATTGTTGGGATCTTGTACCTCTCCATGACAATTCTTGATTCTCATTTTTTCCCCTTACCGCTGCCCTCCCTTCACCCCCTCCTCCCCTCCCCAGTATACTATGTTTCTTACAGCGCTGTTCATAATAGCCAGAATATAGGATAAGTCTAAATATCCATTAATGGTTAACTAGAGAAAGACAACGTGGCATATATATACAGAAAGGAATACTACTCAGTTAATAATATAGCACAAAATTCTACCATTTCCAATACCGTGGATAGTCCTGAAAGACATTATGTTAAGTGAGACAAGCCAGAAATACGAATACTATCTGCTTTCACTCACATGTGGTATATAAAAAAGTTGATCTCACATTCGTCAAGAGTAGAACAGTGGTTACCAAAGACTGGGGAGAATAGGGAAAGGGGAAGTAAGGAGAGGTTGGTCAATGGATCAATGTTAGAGTGGAACAGATGGGTTAAGTCATGGTGTTTCATGGCACTGTAGCTATAATAATGTATTATATATTGCAGAATAGTTAGAAGAGTGGATTTGAGTATTCAACATAAAGAACTGATAAAATTATAAAGTAATAGATATGCTAACTACTCTGGGTTGAGAAGTACTCAGTGTATACTTGAATCAAAACATTATACTTCATGCCCAGCATCACACAGCAGGGGAAGCCAAGGATGGGAGGACTGCTCTCCTTCCGGCTCCCAGAGGCCACCTCCCAGCCCAATCCCTACAGTGTGGTTCAATTCTCCCAGCTGCCGAAGGATCTTCAAGAACAAGACAAGGTAGTGAGCCCCTTCCAGCCCCCAGGTTCGCTCGGCCAGGGAGGCCGGGTCCCCTCCAGGAAACAGTTCAAGCAGGAAAAGACGAAGCCAGCCTCCTGCAAGCGCCCGGGGACGCAGAGACCCCAGCCATCCCTGCTCCTGTCCTGCGGGCCTGAGGCCCAGCTCCGCCCGAACATCCTCACCAAGGACCTCCGCGAGACCTTCGCTTACCAAAACAAGCTGGCAGCACAGACCGCCAGAAAGCGGGAGCCAGGCCCGTGGAAAGGCCGCAGGTGGACCAGCGCGACAGTCCGGGGCCAGCAGAGTCGGGGGGCTGATGCGATTTCCTCCGGAGGGCGCGGAGCCGCGGGTCCCGCGCTGCTGAACTTGGAGGCAAAGTCGGAAGAGGAGGATTCGCGAACTGACTCGGCAGAGCTCTCCTCCAGCTCCTGGGAGGACCTCAAGGAGGACTTCACCAAGGCCCCCAGAGGGCAGCAGGCCCTGGACCGAAAAGCCCACCCATTCCTGAGGCCCACATTCCAGGACCCTGAGGTCTTCGGGGAAACGTGGCTGCGCCCAGGCACCCCACGGGGCCAGTCCGAGAGCTTGGGCTTGCCCTACAAGGTGCAGAGGCTGCACATGCTGCAACATGGGCACCACGTCCTCGCCACGGCCGTAAACAGCCTCACGCGCCACGCGTTCACCTGCGGCCCGGGCGGCCTCAAGGTGTGGAGGCTGGGCGGCCGGGAGGCCCAGGACACCTTCCCCCAGAGCCACCTGCATTGGCCCATCCAGACCCCGGGCGCCTTCCTGTCCACCTGCATGCTGGCCCCCAACGGCAAGATGCTCTTCGCCGGCGGCCACGGCCTGTCGGGCGTGAATGTCTGGGACCTGCTGGCGCCGGACTTGCACAACCCAAGCCAGCTGCCCTGCGAGGGGCTCTCCTGCCAGGCCCTGGACGCCGACCTCAAAGGCAGCCTGGCCTTCGCCGGCTTCAGCAACGGCACCGTCAGGATCTGGGATGTCCGGGATCGGAACGTGGTCAAAGACCTTCCTGGCCGGCAGGGTGAGGCCAACAGCGCGGTGATTAAAGACGACACAGTCTGGACAGGGGGCCTGAACGGCTGTCTGCAGTGCTGGGACCTCAGGGCAGCTCGCAAGTCCCAGAAGCATCTCTTCAAGTCTCAGATCACGAGCCTGTCGCACAGCCTCTGGGAGGACTGGCTGCTCGTGGGCCTGGCCAGCGGGCAGCACTGGCTGCAGTCCACCCTCAGGGGCCAGGCGCACGCGGCGGGGCACAAGAACGGCGCCGTCCTGGGGCTCAAGTTCTCCCCGTATGGTCAGTGGTGGGTAAGCGTCGGCACGGACAAGCTGACCACCATTCACAGCATGCCCGCGGGGTACACGGAGTTCCAGCTGCTGGAGAAATCCTGCACCACCCGCTGCGATGTGTCCGCCAGCAACAAGCTGATCGTCACGGGCTGCCAGGCCTGGGCCTCCGTGTACCAGCTCTCCTACTGAGGCCTCCCGCTGTTACCGGTGCGGTGCGGGCTCCTGAGGAGGAGCAGAGAGGTTGCCAGGCTCCCTGCAGCGTGTGGCCGGGGGCCTGGGGACCAGGATGTGTCCCACGAAATAAAGCAAAAGGGAAAGAGCAAAAAAAAAAAAAAATAATTCATGATATGATACATACAAATATTATGAATTCCTCAAAAATAAAGTTAATTAAAAATAAGTGAGCAGTTTTATTACATACTAATAGTATGAAATAATGAGATGCATTGATGGCATATTGGTGCATGCATACAACATATTTTAATTATTTTATTCCCTGTTACCTCTCCCCCCATACCAACCTCTTCCCGGTCTCTTGAAGACTATCTTCTGGCTTTCTGTCCCCTCTCCTTTGTTTTCTAAAATCATTTTTTAAAATTTATTTTTGGGTTTCTACTGTAAGAGAAAGCATGTGACCTTTAACTTTCTGAGACTGGTCTATTTTGCTTAATATGATGGTCTTCATTTCTATCCATTTTGAAGCAATGACAGCACTTCATTCTTCTTTATGAATTAATAAAACTTCATTGTATGTCTACACTCTATTTTCTTTCTTCATTCTTCTGTTGGTGCCCCTAGGTTAATTCCATATCTTGGCTATTGTGAACAATGCTGTAATGTGCATGGGTAGCCATGTTTGTCCTTCATATGTTGATTTCATTTCACATCTCCAGGGAGTGTCTAGCAAACTCTTATATGGTACAGAATGAATTTCTAGACTCTCTATTCTGGGTCCTATGTCTTCATTTTTTCTCTTAGTAATGATATTTTAGTAATCATAGCTTTATAATGAATTTAAATAACTGATTTGTCTACTCATATCTCAGCACTCACTTTTTTTTTTTTTTTTGGTACTGGGGAATCAAACTCAGGACCTTGCACTTGCAAGGCTGGAGGCAGCACCACTGAGCTAAATCCCCAGCCCTAGCACTCACATTTTTAATATAGAATTATGGAATAAACATTTTTTTTCTTCTTGAGAGGATCAGAATCTTAAAAAGTTGCATGGAATTTTAATTTGATTTTGTGTAAGTCATTTTGAAATTTGTGTCATGGTTCTAACAGAGAAAAAGAACCAATAGGCTATATCTTTAAAAGGTAGGGAGTTCGAATCTCTTCTCTGAAGAGAAAACAGTTATCAGACAGATTGAATGATTCAGTAAAATACTGAAGATTCAGTCTGGTCTTACTTGAGCCATAAGTAAGAAGCAACCTGATGTAGCCTGGAACTGTAGTGAGAGAAATTACCTGAGACTTTTGGGTCATTTCCCTTTTCTGTCCTGGTGAGAATTTAAAGCATGTGCAATATGGTAAACAGGTTTGTTGCCTCAGCCATTGAACTGGTCACCTCATTTTCTTGCAGATGATACCACAGAAAGGAATCAGAGATTCTACATTTTTATTTATAAGGGCAAAGGATTTAAGAGTATTCGTGTGAAGTGCTCTTCCACACAGTTTTCCTTTGCACTGTACTTCCAGATGTAATGCATAAAAAACAAACAACAAAAGCAAGCAAAGGCATGTCTGTAAATAAAACATCTTACTGAAGGATAGAATTGACATGTGATTAGTCAGTTCACTTGTCTGAATCAGAGGAATCCTCTCTTTATGGCTAGACGAGGAACACTAGCTATAATGCATAAATACTGAGAAATGGAAGGGAAAGAAAAAAATTAGCAGTGCTGTTGTCTTATCCACAACAATCAGTTAAGTTTTTGCTATTTTTTAATTTTAAAAGTTTTATTAGTACATGTTTGCAAAACCAATGTTCACCTTCATCATTACATGCACATAACACATCTTAAATCTTTTTGCTTTTTTTTTTTTTGGTGTTTTTGAGACAGGGTCTCACTATGTAGTTGAGACTGACCTGGAAGTCACTCTGTAGCCTAGGCTGGTCTCAAACTCTCAGCGATCCTCCTGCCTCAGCCTCCCGAGTGCTGGGATTACAGGTGTTCACCACCACGCCCGGCCTAACTTTTTTTTTTTTCCTGATACAGGGGAATGAAATCAGAATCTTTACACTAAGGTGCTTCCACAGACCTTTTCCAAAAATTTTATTTTGGGACAGGGTCTTACTAAGTTGGTGATTCATTCGGGCTGTACTCAAACTTGTCTTCTCCTGCAATAGCCTCCCAAAGTACAGGGACTGTAGGTGATAGAGAAGTGCTATACAGTAAGACAGGTCCATGCCTTGCCTCCATTTTTTTCCCCACAGAGTGTTTTGTTTTGGTGAAGTAAGCTTGTGCTACTGGGATCCTGCCCAATGTGCTGAAATGGTTTGTGACTATTTGAACTGTGACCTTTCAGGAATGTTCTGTAATTCCATCCCCCTCACATGACGTGTGTTTCAGGAATATTCTGTAACTTCGCCCCTTTATTTCAGGAATGTTCTGTAACTCTGTTCCCCTGATTCATTGAGCATACTTGCCTACTCTGTAGATCCCTATATAAGGAGGCTTTCATTTCTGGTAGAGTGCTCAGACTCACCTGAGCCCGCTGGGGCTTGCCAGCATAATAAAGTTTTTTTTCTCCACCTTTTCAACTGATCATTGGATTCTTTAGTCTTCAAATTATGAGAGCTGTGACGCAGAGCTGCTACACTGAGCTATAAAGAGCTGTGACACTTGGCTGTAGTACTGAGCTGCTCTGCTCTGCCTCAACATTGGCATAAGCCATTGCTTCAGGCTAAAATTACGATTTTATATAATTTATTTCCCCCTAACTTCAGTTTCCTGAACATTAATAATAATTAGCTTGAATTGATAGAGTCATTCTTCTGAAGACTAACTGAAAAAACATTTACTATTTAACATTTACAAAACTAAGTGTAAAAAACTTTAACTTTACATCTGAGTTAGTATTTGAGCACATATGTGATTCAGAGTATAAATGTCGGTGTATACCGGGCAACATGTCAGACTCCCCAGAGTTAGTAGTGTCTCAGGAACTGGATCCCAGGGTAAAAGGGACACAGGTAAAATGTAAGTCACAGAAAAGTAAACAGAATAGTTAGTTCTCTGAGGCAAAAATAGAATGAAATAGGTAAAATGTAAGTCACAGAAAAGTAAACAGAATAGTTAGTTCTCTGAGGCAAAAATAGAATGAAAAGAAAGAGAGGCAAAGGACCAGAGAGGTTGGACAGAAGGGCCCGCTGTGGTGGTGGGTGGGAGGGGCAGTGAGCACACCCTCCTCAGGTCTCCCCTCCCCCACCTGCAGCTTCTTTGTGAC